AATCTTCCGATACCCCTTCTCTTCAGTCTTTTGTGTTCCTGACAACAAGTCTTTTAAAACTTTGAAGATGTTGTCCACTGTTTTCTAGCCTCCATGGCTTCTAGAGAGAAATCTTCAGTCATTTGTTTCCTAAATGTAATCTGTTGATTTTCCTCTGGTTGCTTTCAAGTTCTTTTCTGTTTCTTCTTTCCAGCAGTTTGAGTATGTTGTTGGTTATGTTTTTCCTTTGAGTTTAACAAATTAGGGATTCATCTGAGCTTCTCGAATTTGTAAGTTTATGTGTTTCACCAAATTTGGAGGCATTTCAGACATAATATATTACCATTTTTTTCCTGTGTCAATCTTTTTTTCCTTTCCTTTCGTACCATACTTTCTCTAGTATAGAGAATGTTGGAGTTTTTTGATATTTTTAGGCAGGTTCATGAGATGTTGTTCATTTTTCCCTTGTTTCTTCTCTGTTCTCCAGACTAGATAATTTCTACTAATGTTTCTAAAAGTTCACTGACTCTTTCCTATGTCATCTCCATTCTGCTATTAAGTCCCAGTGAATTTTTTTGCTTCATATATTGTGTTTTCAGATCTAAAATTTCTACCTAGTATATTTTAATAAAAATATCTTGCTTTTCTGCTGAGAATGTCTATTTTTTTATTCATTTCCATAACATTTATCTTTACAGTTTGGTTACAGAGCATAGTTATAGTAGCTATTTGAAAGTCATTATCTGATAATTCCAGCACCTGAATCAAGTTGGGCTGGCATCTGTTGTTTGTCTTTTCCCTTAAGAACTGGTCAGATTTTCCTACTTTTATAATGTCAAGCAATTTTGGATTGTATCCTAGATATTTTCTGTATTATGTTGCAGGAACTCCGAGTCCTCTGGAGTTGATTACTTTTGTTTATTTTAGTGGGCAATCAGCCCCATTATGTTCAAACTGAGAGTTCTGGCCCACGTTCTGTGGGTAGTGAATTTCTATCAGTTCAAATTGGACTGTGCTTTTTGGGTCTTCCCTGTACATACACCACTTAGGGATTAGTTTGGGGCCTGGCCAGGACTCAAAGCCTTTGGTATGCTTCTTTGGGTCTGTTCCAGACACATGCAGTTCAGACGTATTATTTAAGACATAGAATTCAGTTCAGTTGCTCAGTCATGTCCGACTCTTTGCAACCCCAAGGACTGCAAAATGCCAGGCCTCCCTGTCCATCATGAACTCCTGGAGTTTACTCAAGCTCATGTCCATTGAGTCAGTGATGCCATCCAACTATCTCATCCTCTGTCATCCCCTTCTCCTCCTGCCTTCAATCTTTCCCAGGATCAGGGTCTTTTCAAATGAGTCACCTCTGCACATGAGGTGGCCAAAGTATTTGATTTTCAGCTTCAACACCAGTCCTTCCAATGAACACTCAGGACTGATCTCCTTTAGGATGGACCTGTTGGATCTCCTTGCAGTCCAAGGGACTCTCAAGAGTCTTCTCCAACACCACAGTTCAAAAACATCAATTCTTTGGTGCTCAGCTTTCTTTATAGTCCAACACTCACATCCATACATGACTACTGGAAAAACCATAGCCCTGACTAGATGGACCTTTGTTGGCAAAGTAATATCTCTGCTTTTTAATGTGCTGTCTAGACTGAATGTAACTTTCCTGCCAAGGAGTAAATGTCTTTTAATTTCGTGGTTGCAGACACCATCTGCAGTGATTTTGGAGCCCCCAAAAATAAAGCCTGCCACTGTTTCCCCATCTATTTCCCATGAAGTGATGGGACTGGATGTCACGATCTTAGTTTTCTGAATGTTGAGCTTTAAGCCAACTTTTTTCACTCTCCTCTTTCACTTTCATCAAGAGGCTCTTTAGTTCTTCACTTTCTGCCACAAGGGTGGTGTCATCTGCATATCTGAGGTTATTGATATTTCTCCCAGCAATCTTGATTCCAGCTTGTGCTTC